TTCTGCTGTGATGGAATGAGGGATCCTGGGGCTGGTGCAGGATGGAGTAGGAACCAAGTGTAAAGTGATCAAGCATTCCTCTTCTGTGGGTTTTTTCTTCTTTTTTCGACAGCAATAGATTTTGGGCCATCGAGGTGGATGCGAGTAGCCAAATATTTATTCACGTCGCTTCGCGACGGTAACCGCCCGCACCGCATGGAAGGGGACAATATTTCCACCGAACATAGCCCCGGAAGTGACCCTGCTCGTGAGAAAATGTTACTATTCCTGAACCTTATCTTTCCTTATCTCTGCTCCTGACCAGCCACGTACCCGGACGTTCAAGTCCCTATCTCGCAGACACGTCCGTTAGATAATAGTGACTTCTGGGGCTATGTTCGATCATATGCACGCTCTGCTCGCGCGAAAATGTTACCGTTCCTGAACTTGATCTCTGTTTATCTCTGCTCCTGTCGAGCCAAATATCACTTCTAAAGCTATGCCAGGCAATATGGAAGCTATGTTTGGCCACGTTAGGAGGGGTTTGTTTATTCCAGTTTACGACGTTCAAGTCCCTATCTCGCAGACACGTCCTTTAGATAGTGACTTCTAGCGCTATGTTAGGCAATATCTTCACTCTATTCCAGTCCCTTTGGAGCCTTCGTTGGGCCATGTCTTGACGTTCACGTACCTATCTCGGCGAAGCATACTTGAGATAGTGACTTCTGGGGTTATGTCCGACCATATGGGAGCTAGGCTCGTGAGTCTGCTCCTGACCACCATTCCTGGACCTTATCTTTCCTTATCTCTGCTCCTGACCTGCCACGTACCCGGAGTCTCTATCTCGCAGACACGTCCGTTAGATAGTGACTTCTAGGGCACTTTACCGCTCAGATGATGCAGATGATGCAAAGCAGAAAATTGCATTTCTTGCATCACTAAAGGCTTCAAGATAGCAAAAATTAGCACAAATTTATCTTCCAGCACTTTAAGCCGGTTCCAAAAACGTAAAAAAAAACAGCATTCTAGAGCGAAAATGCCCCCCCCTAGCTAAAGCTATTAGTACTTGCGGTATAATGCGTGCCCTATAAAAACGCCTCGGCACCTTCGGTGCGGGCGGATTTACACTGGATCGTTCATGATCGTTCTGGATGTGCAAGTCTTGATCGGGTGCACATTATAATAAACACAAATGAAACCACGGGGGCAGACGATGACCATGAAACCATGAGGTCGTTCCTTCGTTCCTTTTACGTCGACCAAGGGATTCCCATCGAAGGACACCTCAGTTTGTTGTTTTCCATCTACGTGGAGCAAATTCTAAGACCACCCTATTCAGCAAACATTTACCTATAGCCTATACCTATACATGGTCCCTTAAAACCTTAAATGACAAAGGTTAGCAAACATTTACCTACTACATTGTCCCTGGAAACCGGTAAAGCTTCTATAATACATGGGCTGCGACATGCGTATGCATCATGCGTTGTGTTTTGGTAATCGAGAAGTTCGCACCTCGAAGAGTTGGGAAGGACCTGATCTCCTCGGTCTCAACCAGAAAAGCTGTGGTTTGTCGGGTTCTGGTACAAGGTGTTCCTGTCAAAGAGGGTACCGGGTAGTTCATATCCAGGCCATCTAGTTGCGGTAACGCCTTTTGAAAATTTATAAACATACTATACTGTATACAATCGTATACATGCTCCGACTGGCGCAATTTGGCAATGGTATTCTACAATTCCTGTTCCCTCCCGCGTATGCTTCAACGGGAGGGTGTTGGTTCGGTTTGAATTGGGGGCTGAACAGCGGCCGCTGGGCGACGCTGGTCGGGCAATAGGCAAAGTGGAGGAGACTTGAAGGCCGATGTGAGTGCAGGCAGGATGTCAGTGCTGGCAGGCAGGCCCCGCATACGCCCGGATGTCTCCCAACAACGGCGGATGTGAGTGCAGGGGGCGGCCAATCCATCGGATGAAGTTGGAGACCCAAGTCCCCATCCACACTACAGCAACGCGCAATGTGCTTCCACAACAACTGAATGCGTCAATGGGTTGGACATGGTTCGACAAGCGCCAGCTGACCTGGCACATGATGCAAGAAAGCATTCGGAACAGGGAAAAAGAATTTGGGCTTTGCCATGAAGAACACCACCCGGGTTCCTTTTCTTACCAGCGATGCCCCGACTGCCACTTCTCAGCATTGCCATCACCAGGGCAATGCTTCTTTCCAAGCTTCCACTTGGAGCTGTACGCCTGACATCAACACGTGGGCAAGCAAATTTGGCCCACAGTGATTGGTAGGGATTGAGTAGGGATTGAAGACTGACCTTGACATCTCTGACTTGGTGCGATGCTGATGCCCCTAAGCTGAGCAGCAACTACAAAGAGAATCATCTTGCGCAAAGCTTCCTCGCTCATAGCCTATACTCACCAGCTATATTCATTAGATTTTGTTTCCTTACTTTCATTCACCCCAAAAAGTTTTGGCTTTAGCCATTAGATGTTGTTTCCTCAACTCTCCTCACCCAAAAATTTTGTCCACAGTTTTAGTCATTAGATTTTGCTTCGTGAAGTCTCCTCACCAAAAATTGTTGCCCACTGTTTTATTCATTAGATTTTGTTTCCTTACTTTCATTCACCCCAAAAAGTGTTGGCCACAGTTGTAGTCTTTAGATTTTGTTTCCTCAACTCCCCTCACCCAAAATTTTTGTCCACGGTTTTAGTCATTAGATTTTGCTTCCTCAACTCTCCTCACCAAAAGTTTTTGCCCACACTTGGATCATTGTGCCCAGGTTTAATTCCAAAAGCATCACAAATTAGTGCAAAACATTACAAACATATGCAAACAAAAGAAAACTTGATCAAACACACATAGAACTGATATGTACTTTGTAGTTTGTATGTACTTTGTATGTAGTTTACATGTAGTTTTCCAAAATTAAATATGTAGTTTGTATGTGGTTTTTTCACGACGCAAAATCGAATGACTAAAACCGTTGACACAAAATTTGGGTGAGGGGAGTTGAGGAAACATAATCTAAAGACTACAACTGTGGCCAAAAACTTTTGGGGGTGAATGAAAGTAAGGAAACAAAATCTATTGAATAAAGCTGTGGGCAAAGATTTTTTGTGAGGAGAGTTCAGGAAACAAAATCTAATTACTAAGACTGTGAACAACATTTTATTGTCCACAGCTTTAGTCATTAGATTTGCTTTCTTAATTTCCCTCACCCCAAAAAGACTGTCCACAGTTTTAGTCATTAGATTTTGTTTCCTTTCTCGCACCAAAAAAATTGTCCACAGTTTTAGTCATTAGATTTTGCTTCCTGAGCTCTCCTCACCGAAGATCTTTGGCCACAGCTTTATTCATTAGATTTTGTTTCCTTACTTTCATTCACCCCAAAAAGTTTTGGCAACAGTTTTAGTCATTAGATTTTGTTTCCTCAACTCTCCTCACCCAAAAATTTTGTCCACAGTTTTAGTCATTAGATTTTGCTTCGTGAAATCTCCTCACCAAAAATTTTTGCCCACAGTTTTATTCATTAGATTTTGTTTCCTTACTTTTATTCACCCCAAAAAGTTTTGGCAACAGTTTTAGTCATTAGATGTTGTTTCCTCAACTCTCCTCACCCAAAAATTTTCTCCACAGTTTTAGTCATTAGATTTTGCTTCGTGAAATCTCCTCACCAAAAATTTTTGCCCACAGTTTTAGTCTTTAGATTTTGTTTCCGCACTTTTCTTCTTCACCAAAAAAGCATGTTCCCTTTCCTTTTCCTTTCTCTCTGCCTTTTCTTGTTCTTTTTCCCCTTGCTTTTTTTCCTTTTCCTTGTGTTTTTCCCGAGAGCGCCTGCGAAGGGTTCTTCGCAAAAACACATCTGCAGAACTACACCTCATCTACATCTTCACATCCTCACCTCTGCACAATCACATTCTCACCTATATCTCTGCTCATCTTCACATCAGCACATTTACATCTCTGCTCATCTTCACATCCTCACATCTACACCTCAGCTCATCTTCATATCTGCACATCTACATCTCTCTCATCTTCACATCCTCACATCTACATCTCACATCTACATCTCAGCTCATCTTCATATCTGCACATCTACATCTCTCTCATCTTCACATCCTCACATCTACATCTCACATCTTCACCTCTCGCTCTTCTCAACTTTCTCTCTTAAGGCCGGGGGCAGTGCCGCCGGAGCACCACGAAACGCGACCCTCTGCGGAGATCGTGCGTGTCGAGTGCGCGAAATGCAGGCGAG